AGCGCAGGAGGGGAAGACCCTCTATGAGGTGGATTGATTCAGTGACTGGGGTACTTGGGATGGGTGTGTCAGAGGCAATGAGATTGGCACAGGATGGAGCACGGTTTAGGGATGTTGTACATAGGGTCGCTATGAGTCTCAAACTACTCGACGGTACATAACAACAACAACATTTAGTTTTAAGGGAACACTGTTGGCCTTACTAGTAAGGAGTTGGCACTGTCAACTCAAAAGTGCGTGGACTAAGTCATGACAAATAACATTTCCTTTTCTTTGGAAACTCTTTTGACTTAATACTCTATCTGTAGGATCGACATGTATGTGGAAGGCTTGAAGGACTTGAGTGATATGATTATGTACTTTCCACTGTCTCTACCCGAAGAGAAGGAAAAGAATCTCAACTACATCCTAGAGAGAGCCACGACAAGATTCTTTCCTGTTTATGAGAAGGTACAGAGTAGACTACTGCCCTACTTTATGACCCTAGGGAGAGGAAAAGGAATAGAGGAAGAATGTCATTGATGGATGGCAGATCCCAAAACCCTCATCAAAGTTCAAAAGTCTTCTTTTAGCTGCAATTATAAAATATATCTGATCTGCCACCTCTTGCTTTTAATCCCCCCCCTTTTTTTTAAGATTTTATGTCCAATTTCTGCACTACTTGTGGTTCTGGTGCTAATAGAGAAATTTCAGAATTTTTTGTCATAACCTGGAGACTTTTATAAACAGGATTTGAAGTGGAGATAGAGATACTAATTAGAGAGGTTGGGGGTGGGGAATGAATAGTATTTATAAAAACATACAATATAGTAAAAGAGCTTAGGGTGGATTATAAGGAATAACAGAATTTCATGCCTTATTCTAAACGTTAAGAAAATGTCATATTTATTTTTAAACTGTATTTCTTATCTGTCTGAACTTTTAGCAGCTGAAAAATAACGCCAGCAGGGGTAGGGAGTATTGAAGGAAAACTTAAGACTGTACCATACCGCTGTCTTATTTAGCTAAGCTCTTGGCCTCAGGGACATTCATTATAAAGTAGATAAATGTGGAATGAGATGAAGAAGGATGTTTTTCTTTTAAAAAAATTAGCTGATGCATTTTCCAAATCCATTTGTAGTGTTGGCTTACTTCATTCTTTCTGGATTGAACTAAACAAAACACCTAATTGAATGGTTTAATACACGGTATGCATCATGTTCAATAATCTTAATCATCTAATGTATATTATTTAACAAAAGGTACTTGTATGTGATACGTATTATAGATGCCCTAACTTCCTAAGTCATATTTTTGCTTTAGATTGTATTTATGAATTATCAGTTGCTGATAACTAAAATGAATCAAACCATGAACAGTAGACCCCAGGCTTTATCCATATGATTTCCTTCAAAAATACTTAGAAGATAATACATCCACTTGTATTCGTTTGAGAGAGTTTCTTCTGCTAATTGCACTAATATAGACAATGGAATGGCTGAGTTAATCCCCATTATTCCCAATTATTTAAGTGTTTGTTGTACAACAGAAACTTCTCTCATGGCTGAAAAGAGTGACAGTCATCCACAATAATAACAGTGACAACCATAAAAAACAATCATCACCAACAATCAGTAAAATCATTAACTACAATAGTAACGACGATGGCTCAATACAACTTTCATGATAACTTCAGGAAAGAGGCACTGTTGCTATTGCCATTTTCAGAAGAGGCAGCCAAAATTTTAAAAAGCAAACTAAACTTGCACATTGCTATATAATAAATAAAGTTGGAGCCTGCATTCAAATTTTTCAGACTCCTGTTTCCATGCCTAAGAATTAGAAAATCATTCTAGAGTTACTGTATATCTTTGTGACTTCTTACCCCAGTCGTTTAGTTTGTAATTTCATTGATTTTTATTCTAAGTAATCCATAAGTCACAACCTGATTAGAAGGACATTTGCTTATGAAAGTGAAGTTTGAGTTTCTATTAGGGCAATGTTCTCCATGCAAAATGCCTTCAAAGAGTGGCAAACCTCAGGACTCTTCCCTAAGATGCTGTGCGGAGAAAACGTTATCATATACCTGTAAGAGCCACAAATCCAAGCTATGGAGTAGAGATACTCTATAGATGCTCACCAGCTTGGTGCAGGGATCTTTCCTATATTTCAAATACTTTGGAAAGATTTAAGATATTCTAATCTCCCCAATTACCATTAATGAACATATTAATGAACGACCCTACAGAATTGTGATCAAAAGGAAAGAAAGGCAAAACAGAATTTCGATTTCTCATGAAATCCAGATTCCTTGATCCATGGAGGTGGGATGAAGCCCTGAAACACTGCTCTTAGATAACCTTTAAACCTTAAATAATATCCTCTGGAGCCAAACAATAGTGTTTAACTTTACTGAAAAAATATCTGCCTGAGCATTATACTTTTTGATATTTTACTTTAAATTGTTCTTTGAGTAAAACTTTAGAACAAATTGGTTTCCATTCAACAAGTCATATGCATTTTATTAATTAGAATATTCCAATGTAACTTCACTCTTAGCATTATGCTTTTTAAGATCTATAAGAAATCAAAATGACAACCACAACTAGAAAGACTAGACAAGAATCTTGTTGTTGTTATGTGCCGTCAAGTCAGAACCACCTCATGGCTGAACCTTCAGTGGGTTTTCAGAGGCAAAAAATTGCCCTGGAGGAGACTGTGTATCTTTTTCCCAAGAAGTAGCTGGTGGATTTGAACTACCTGCCTTTGAGTTGACAGTGAAACAACTCCTTACCAGTAGGCCACCAAAGCTCCTTTCAGTAGGAAACATAGAGAGTTTAGATTTATGAGGGAGGAACACACTGAAAGGAGGCTGAGACTGGCTGCACAATTCAAACATATAACTATCATTGAAGTGTACATGGAGATATGGGTAGATTGCTGTATGGTTTTCTGTATATATTCTCAAAAACAAAATATAGACAGCTCAAGAGGATGGACAGATAGATGATAGATAGATAGATAGATGATAGAAAGAAAAATAGGCAGACATATTTAGATCTCTTTCAGATGAGCAAACTAGATTCCACAAGTTGGGTTGTTTGGGCTCCCACAGCTAACCAGTGGCAAAGACAAGGCTAGAAACCAGGTCTCTTAATTATTTAATGGGCTTGCTGTTAAATCACACTAATTTAAGATTATATGCTAGTTATGATCCTAAATCCTCTATCTTTTCCTTCTCAACCACTATGTAGGCACTAAGAAACAATGGGCAAGATTTTCTTGTGGGCAACCGAATTAGTTGGGCTGATATACAACTCTTTGAAGTCATCTTAATGACTGAAGAGTGCAAATCCGATGTCCTCTTGGATTTCCCTCTGCTACAGGTAATGCCACCTACATAGCTCACAGCAACTGCAGGGAAGATGAATCAAGCTTTAAGGAGTCTACTAACCTCTCTATGCCAAGACCTGTACAAGACAGTCAAAGTTGCTCTAAAGAGCACATACTTGGGATGGGGAAACAAGGATATGTACAGATAGTATCAATATAACGTGGTCAATTAAAAAATAAAACTATATGGGAAAATAGGTGAGAGTCAGTTGGACCAACAGGGGATCGAGGGCAGACTTCTTGCAGGATGTAAGTCAAATCTCCAAGATTTTGCCTGGAATGTAGTGGAATCTCAATACAAGTTGGGTCCTCCTCCTAGATAAAACAAAGGGAGAACAAAATCGGAATACCTACTGAAAATAGGAGATACTTCATTGAAAGCAGGAGATCAGACTCAATCCAAAAGGTTAATAACTTTCCAGAGGTCACTCTGGTAGGGGACAGGATCGGGACTCAATTATCAGTCTGTCTGATGTCTGGGTTCTGAAACACTTTGCTGTACTGGTTGGCTCTTCTCTGATCGTATAAAAGATGCTTATTTAAAATAGTTGTAGTCAGACTTATGACAATACTACACTTGCAGTTTTCTACTTCATATTGTTTTATTGTTGTTGTGTACTGTCAAGTCAGAACTAGCTTATAGCTGACCCTCCAGTGGGTTTTCAGAGGCAGTTAATCGCACAGGAGGAGTGCCCATCCTTCTCCCGAGGAGCAGCTGGTGGCCTCGAACCACATGCCTTTGGGATTTCAGTGCAGCTTTTTGCCACTAGGCCACCAGAGCTCCCCGTTTTTAGTGTTTTATTTAGTTTATTTTTATACAACGTTGTTGTTGTTGTTGTTGTGTATTGTAGAGTTGGAACCAACCCATGGCTGACCTTCTAGTGGGTTTTCAGAGGCAGTTAATAGCATGGGAGGAGACTGTCCATTCTTCTCCAGCAGAGCTGCTGGTGGCCTCGAACCGTAAGCCTTTGGCATTGCAGCACAGCTTCTTGCCTCTAGGCCACCAGAGGTCCCTATATATAAAGTAGCCACTTATATTATCTTTTTGAAATTTTTATGATTATATAATATTCTATTGATTATGTTAAGAATAATCGTATTTTAAATAGTGAAAAACATCAACAACTTAAATGTCATCATCTAAGGAATGAGGAATGACAGTATTAAAGCTTGGGTAGAGTGTGGTCTGGAAAAATTTTGCCGCTAGCAAAGACTGTTATAAGGAGGCACATAGGAAGCAATGGGAATGAGAAAGATTGGCCACTATCTGACTTTGGTTGAGAAATAAATACTATTTTAAAAAGCATAAATGCTGGGTTTTTTTAAGATATGAAATAATTATTTGAGGTTCTTTTGGTAAAACTGGAAAAGAGTAGGATGTTAAATTATAGGAGGTTTGACTATCTTGGGTGTCATGTAACATTCCATAGACAGAATGTTGTTGTTCTTATGTGCCATTGAGTTGCCTGTGACTCAGTGACCCTGTGTACAATAGCTCTGAACCCTATTCTGAGCCAGTTGCATTGACTCTGACACACCAACCCCCATTATCCCAGTTACTATGCCAATCCATCTCATCCAGGGTCTTCCTCTCCTGCACTGTCCTCCCACCCTTCTGAGCATGATGTCCTTCTCCAAGGACTTGCCGCTCCTGGTCACATGTCCAAAACATGTGAGATGGAGCTTCAACATCCTAGCCTCCAATGAGAAACTTGGTTTCACCCTCTTCAAGACAGCTCTATTTGTTTTCTTGGCAGTCCCAGGTGTGTTCAATACTTTTCACCAGCACAGCAACTCAAAGGCATGGATTCTTTTTCCATTATCCTTAGTCATTGTCCAGCTCTCTGATGTAGAGCAAGTAATTGTGAAGACCATGGCCTGAGGGGCCATTTTTATATCTCAGAATAAAAAAGAAATGAAGTTCTTTAGAAGTAAAGATGGTGAGACTTCACCTCACGTAATTTGGATATGTTATCAGCAAAGGAGAGTCTCTGGAAAATGAGAAAGTCAGTGAAACAGAAGATCTTCAACAAGATGAACTGACATGATGATGGCAACAACTAGCCTAACACATTGAGGAGAGTGTGAGGTTGACATGGGGTCAGCATTCAGTTCATTCTGCTGTACACAGATTTGCTATGTGCTGGTGCCAAGTTAACAACATGTAAAAGCAACATGATGAAATTGGCTCAGGATAGAGCAGGGGCAGAGCTGTTGTATATAGGGCCACTATGAACTGGAGTCGACTTGATGGAACATAACAACAACAACCACCACAAAGGCAACATGGTCCAGTGATAATTTGCAACATGAATTATAAGGTAAGAATTTTTGGTTTTTTGACATTGAGGTGTAATCCATATTGAAGGCTCTAGTCTTTGATCTTCTGAAACAAGTTGTCCTCACTTTCAGCAAGCAAGGTTATATCACCTGCGTAACACAGGTTATTGATGAGTCTTCCTCAGATCTTGATGCCACATTCTTCTTCATAGATTCTAGCTTAAGTCATTTGCTCTTCAGATAGACTGAATAGGTATAGAGAGGAGACAACCCTGAAGCATTCCTTTCTTAATTTTAAACTATGTAGTGTTTAAAATTACACACTGGTCTCAATGTCAGTTCTTACCAGTGAACTGATAGGCAACATCATGAGAGATGGAGAAAAGTTGTCAATAATTTCATCGTTCTTTGAGCCACAATCCATACAGTTGGTATCAGCAGTCAGGAAATCAGGAGACAGACTGCACTGAGAAAGACCTCTCCAAATTACTAAGGAGCAACGATATCTCTTTGAGGACTAAGGTTCATCTGATTCAAGCCATAGTCTTTCCGATCACTTGCTATGCCTCTGAGAGCTGAACAGTGAATAAGGGTGACAGAAGAATTGATACCTTAGGTGTGTTGTTCAAGAAGAACACTAACTATCCCATGGACTGGTAAAAAACCAAGCAAATATATCTTGAGAAACTATAGCCAGAGTGCTCCTTGGAAGCAAAGATCCTGAGGGTTCATCTCACACACTTCTGGCATGTTGCTACCAGAGGCTATTCCTTGGAGAGTGACATCATGCTTGGAAAGGCAGAGGGTCAGCCTAAGAGAGGAAGCACCTCAGCCAGAAGGATTGACATAGTGACTGCTACAATGGGCTCCAGTGTGTCAGGAAGTTTGAGGTTGCTGTGAACTGTACTCAACTTGACAGCACCCAATGACAACAAAAGCAACATAATACACAACATAATTGAGGGCAATTTGGAGCCACAGCTATGCATTTATGACTAGAATGCATTGTGGGGTTTTTTTTAAATGTATGACTCTCACCACTAGGCCAATCGGCAGCATTATGATAGATGGTAAAACTACTGAGATTGTTAACAGCTTTAGTTTGCTTGGCTACACAATCAACACTCTTGGCACTAGCAGCAAGGAAATCAAGAGACGAATTGAACTGGGAAAGTCAGCTATCAGGGACCTCTCCAGAGTACTGAAGAACAACGATGTCAGTCTGGAGACTAAGGTGTGTCTGATCTAGGCCATAGTCTTCACAATTGTGTGTTATGCTTCAGAGAGCTGGACAATGACTGTTGTTGTTGTTATGTGCCGTCGAGTCATTTGCGACTCACAGCGACCCTATGTACAACAGCCCTAAACCCTGCTCTATCCTGCGCCAATCGCACTGCCTCTGACAGACCCATCCCGATTACCCCAGTCACTGAATCAATCCATCTCATAGAGGGTCTTCCCCTCTTGCGCCGTCCCTCCAACCTCCCAAGCATGATGTCCCTCTCCAAGGACCTGTCCCTCCTTGCAACAGGCCCAAAGTATGTCAGACGAAGACCCATAATCCTTGTCTCCAAGGAGTATCCTGGTTTAACCCTCTCCAGGATGAATCTGTTTGTTTTCTTGGCAGTCCACATTACATTCAATACTCTTCTCCAGCACCACAGCTCAAAAGCATCAATTCTCCTTCTGTCCTCCCTAGTCATTGTCCAACTCTCTGATGCCTAACAAGTGATTGCAAAGACCATAGCCTGTATCAGGCGCACTTTAAGTCTCCAGAGAGACTGTTGCTCTTGAATACTTTAGAGAGGTCCCTAACAGCAGACTTTCCCATCGCAATACATTTTTTTGATTTCCTGGCTCCTGGTGCCAAGAGTGTTGACCGTGGAGCCGAGCAAACTGAAGCTGTGAACAATCTCAATCTCTTCACTATCCAACCCGATGCTACCAATTGTTTCAGTGGTGAGAATCTTTGCCTTCTTGACATTGAGCCTCAGTCCATATTGAAGGCTGCAGTCCTTGACCCTCTGCAGCAAGTGCATGAGGTCCTCCTCAGTGTGTGATATTAAAATTGCAAATAGGGCTCATAGTATTGCACTGAGAAAGTGTGTGGTCAGGGACCTCTCCAAATTATTTAGGAGCAATGATGTCTGTTTGAGGTCCAAGATGCACCTGGTTCAGGCCATATTCTTTTCATAACATGCATCTGAGAGCTGGACAATGGATAAGGATGACAGAAGAATTGATATCTTTGCACTTTGGTGTTAAAAGAGTGTTGTACATCCCCTGGACAGCCAAGAGACTAAAAAGATATGTCCTGGAGAGGGTTTAGCCAAAAAACTTCTTGGAGGCAAAGACGAAAAAGCTTTGTCTCACATACTCAGGGCATCTTGCTAGGAAAGGCTATTCCTTGTAGAGGAACACCATGCTTTAAAAGGTGGAGGAACAGCAAAGGAGAGGAAGACCCTCAACCAGGTGGGTTGACACAATGACTGCAGCAACGGGCTCAAGTGTGTCAGAGAGCGGAGGATGGCACAGGATAGAGCAGGGTTCACATCTGTTATTCGTAGGATTGCTATGGACTATCCTTAACTCAATGGTTCCTAACAACAATAGTGTAATAGCTAATAAAGAATTAATGTTACTGTTGCTAGATGTGCTTAAATTTGCTCCCAAATTTAAAGTTGCAAAGTCACTGGAATTTGGAAAAGAATTATAATTATATACTTTTAAAGAATTTTTTGTGTGGACATTAAGAATTGTGTACAGATGTTCACAATATTTCTGTACTGGTTCTCAAACAAACCAGCAAAATACTAATAGTGAAAATGCTTTCAACAGAAGTAAAAAGACTTTCCTTTGCTAATAGTACATCAGGATGGCTAATGTTGTTTGTTCTTGTGTTTCAAAAGCATCTTTATGGATATGAACTTTCCACATGTAAAATTACATCACTGGGATACAATTTTTCAAATGAGATTTTTTTTTTGTTACAGCCTGTGAACATTTTGTGGTTCTGAGGAAATACTGATGAGCTTGCTTTTCACAAAGATAGTATCAATTTACAATTTTACATTTACATTTTAATCCCTGTCTTCACCAGCAGTGTAGAACACAAATTTTAGTGTACAAATGTGCATTTATATAATATTTTGTTTACTTTGCTATGTTCTTCTTTCACAGTTTTGCATTTTAGGATTTTTTTGTTTTTCAGTTGCTGTTAAGTCAACTCCAATCTTGGTGAGCCCAGATGTGTCTAACAGAATACTGCTATTTTTTCTCTCATCATAATGTTACTTTGCATTTTAGGAATTTAAGGTCAGAATGAGTCATATCCCCACAATTAACAAGTTCCTCCAGCCTGGAAGTCAAAGGAAGCCCCCTCTGGATGAAGACTCCATGAAGACTGTGAAGAACATATTCAGATTTGAACATGGCATGTTTCTTAAAAACATGACCACGATAGTAGCCGAGTATTAGGAAATGAACTCTAAAGAATTCAGCAAACATTTCACTTTATATTTGTGTGACATGGCCTGAAAAAAACATTGATGTTACAAAAGCATAAAGAATTAAAGAAAGCCATCAGTGAAGCCAAGAACCCCTCTCTTTCTCATAGAATAAAATATTAACTAATCAGAACTATCCAAGAATTGCTGTTCTACTTATTGCCGAATAAAAGCTTAAGCAAGCAGACAGACACTGAGGACTTTTGAAACAAACACATACATCAATCAACTTATCCTCATGGGCTCAAGAATGTCAGAGTCGATGAGGATGGGGCAAGACATGACAGGGTTTACATCTGTGGCTCATAGGGTCACTACTAGGAGTTGCACTTAACTCTTTGGTACCTAACAACAGTGCAACAACAACCACATTTTGGGAGAGGTCTCAGGCCCGGGATAGATTCAAACTCTTGTTAAACTTTCACCTACCAAATATTTTACAACAGGAAAGAATCAGTGATCAAAGCTGGGAACTTGAAGGTCCAAGAGAGCCTTGCCCAGCAAAATAGAATCACAGGAAACACCATAAATTTAATAGTTGCTTTTGACGTGAGTGGAAGAAGGGATATGAAGAGTGGGAAATGTGTTAAATGAGTATATTAAATTTATTATCTTTTTTTACCAATAGATAGAGTTTGTACGTATTTTCCTTGTCAACTTCACATTTAGTTTCTACTTCACTGTAATAGTCACACTGTTAGTTAAGAGTTAGCTTCAATTCACAGCAGTCCCATACTCAACCTGTTTAACATCACCGAAACATATGAACCTCCACTGACAAAAAGATGATGACTAGACGAGAGACAGGTGGTAAGCTCTGGCTGGGAAAGTGAACGGGTGCCTGGCATGGAAGGTGAGAATTCTACCACTGAAGCACCTATACCACCTATAATAGCGATCATTTGAATATAACTTGTCACCAATCCAAATCTGAAGATTCTCAATCATCTTTGAACAAGCTGCAGAGTAAGAGGTGCACCCTTGTGATAACTGCTCTTCTAAACCAATAGAATTAATGAGATTATTTGTGAAGTACATAAATGGATTTTGTTTGGGTTTCTTATTTAGATAGAAAGGCAGGGTCAAGTAAAAAAAGAAATCATCTCTTTCTCTATGTATACTCTCAGATACCTGAGAAAACTCATTGAGCACTGACTTTGAGATTACAAAAATGTTAACAAATAGGCAAATCTGTAGATTGGAATATATGACTAGTGAATGTCAATTATGTATAAAAATAGAGACAGCAAACAAAAGACCGTGTATCATGATTATTAAACTCCTTTAATGATAACAGAGCTTAGCAATTAGAAAATAAAGTTTCCATTAAAAAACAACAGCAGCAAGGTCAAAGTCAGTCACTCTCATTGCTGTTAACTTGGTTCCAACACACAGTGCCCACCCCCCCATTTCAGTAGGAGGAAACTGCCCCACCTTTCTCTGGTGGATTCAACCCACCAGAGGCACGACCTATGGAGGAGCAGTGCAACCCCCTCCAGACTATGCCACCAGGGCGCCCGAATGCCAAACTAGGGTCCACAGTAGAGGTAATAATATATTAGAATGTTACTTGTGTTTCTAACATTAAATAAGACACTTTACATTTCATGTTGAACCTTATCTTTTAAATATAAAGAGTCTGCTCCCTACTGTGAAACACCCTGGATTCAGTTCTCAGTTCTTCAGGTTCTCAGAGCAGCAGTAAGATGAGTCTCAGAATCATCATGAGGCTGGATTTTAAAAAAAAGGAAAAGGAAAAAGGCAAAAAGGTCATTTTCACACAAAAATGAAAAGAAAGGGTCAGATACTCTCCCAACTTGACTTCAGGCTTCAGGGTTCTTCTCACCATATAGACCTCAAAGTATTCAAAGTATAGACTTTATCCTACTACACTGAGACTCGAGGCAAGTCTGAGTGCTCACTGGATGCGTGAGGGAAATCAGAACACACTGTTCTGAAGATCTGTGATAGAGTTTTAGGAATTTAGTGTTAGAAAAACAACAACAACAAAAACTGATAGAAACAAAACTTTCAAAAGCTAGTAAAGTAAAACAATGTCAAAAAAATAGTCTAGAAGGAAGTGAGAATTTGAATTTAAAATACTAGTGTCTTTCTTCTTCTTTGTAAGTAAACCTGGCTCTGATACCTCCATCATCAAATATCATTTACAAAAGGGTTATTACTGGAAATACACAGCAATAATAGATTATCCTACAATAACCCTAAAATTATTCACTATTCTCCCACTCAAAGACAAACACAACTAGCTTTTAAGGTATTTCCTTTCTACCTTAGTTTTCTGTACATACTTTTTTTTTTAATTGGGATCACATTATTATTATTTGGGATCCTGTTTTTTATCTCTTACATTGTTGTTGTTAAGTGCTATTGAGTTGTAGACAACTCATAGCGGCCCTGTGAACGAAAGACCTGAACACTTGTATAACTTTCATAGTTTCTTCACATTCATAGAGTTTCTGGAAGCAAGCTATTTCGGAAGTGGATGTCACTCCTGATTCCAAGCTTGTTTTAATCAGGGAGCTCCATCAAACACTGTCCACTATGGGTGATGATTATCGCATTTGACACATCAGTGTCACAGTGTTCAGCATCACAGCAACCACAAGTTACGTCTGTACAGAAAACGGGCAGACCAGTGCTATACCATTTAGAGGAATGTTTGACCAAAAACAATTAAAACCAGACCTGAGGGGCGCAGATTAAAATCACCCACCTTTGCCTTGGTAACATAACTTTCTATCCACCAGGACCACAGAGCTCTATGTTAGCCCAATGCCACTAAGTAATTTTTTAATACACGACATATCATCATATCATGCCTGCTCCATTACAAGGTCATATAACATTTATGGCTCATTTCATGTAAAACTGGAGGTTTTTCTAATTTTTAAGTTATCATATTTTATACCAGTGATAAAATTTTAAAGAACATTGGCCTTGTGTCCATTTCATTAAAATTTTTTAGAGGGAAAAATCCCCCAAAATAAAAAATATGTTTCAAAAGAAATAGGTATTTTTGTGGAGAATAGATATT